CACATGTACACACACATGCACAAGCGTATGAACAAGCACTCTTGGGTGTGTGCATGCGCACACGTGCGGGCACACACACTAAACTACCTGTACATTGTGGGGTAGCTCAGTTGGTAAAGCATTCGCTGCACAAGCTCATCAACTAAATTTGATCCATGGAACCTCAAATCCAAAACCCATGTAAAGGGGAGAAGGAGAGAACTAACCCATAAACCACAAAGCTTTTCTCTGACCTCCACACGGGTGTCATGGCTTGAGTGAGTATGTACACACAAATATTATGCAATAAAAAAGTGAGTTGGGCAGTGGTGGCTGACGCCTTTAATCCCAGGACTCAGGAGGTACAGCCTGGTCTACAGGTACATAAGTGAAACCGTGTCTGGAAAATCCAAAAGGGGAAGGGGGGGGAGAATCATATCCCCCTGTCCCTCACAGAGCTCCCTCCTAGGTCCAGACTTACAGTCTGACTATCTGCAGAATGTCCCTCCTCTACCTCTCCCAGGCTCTAACATTCCAGGCAAGGCAGCACCCCCAGACACCCTCTTCCAGCCTTGGCCTTGCTCTGTGGTCTTCCATCCCACTCACAGGTGTGGCTAAGAACACAGAAGACAGCCAAGACTAAAACCCTTGCTTTGTTTTGATATCTCTTCTCTTTCTATTTTACAGTGACCTCTGTCTCCCTTTTACCCCATAAACTGCCCCGCCCATAAGCACATTCACCATCTTTTTCTGGTTACTGTAATCTCTTCCTAATTGGTCACACTGCTTCTAGCCATCCCCTCCCTCCATTCTTCACAGGTAATCATGGCAACATACACAGGTCACCCCCCCACCTCAAACAATGGTGCCCCACCAGTTCAGGCTAGACTTCACTGCCAAACACAGCTCTCAAGCTCTTCTTGATGTGGCCACCTGTATGTTGAACGACACCCCTCAGCCACTAGTTCTAAACACAAGAGATCAGTTCTCTTGCTAAGCCCTCGTCTTCCAGGCCCCTCTTCCTGGAAGGTTCACCTCCTCCTGCTATTTCCCGTTCATCTCTGACAACTGCACGGTTGAACCAGGCCTCTGTGTTCCCACTGCCATCACTCCAATCCCAACCATACACCTTCCTCCTAATCAGGTCCTCTCTGAGACCCAATGCCACTTCTAGCCAGAGCTTAGATGCTGTGTTTTCCGTTTCAGACTGTATTTCTTTTTCAGAGTCCGACTCTCTCCTGTCTTCAAGGCCCTTGACACTGCCTCCTAGTTGGTGCACACCAGGCCTCTACCACCTCTGTTTTGACATTTCTTTTCTCTCTACTGTTTTACAGTGACATCCCAAAGAGATGTCAAAACAAGCTATGTACACACCACAAGAGTATACACCAACATTTATATGCTCATATTCCCTCCCACACACATAACCTTCCTGTGTTCACTGATAAGACATGTACCCCCCCATATCCACGTGGACTCACACAACCATGAACCCACAGATTTCTCCAGCCTCATGTGTGCACCAACAGGCACACAGGAACCCCTGTCCCTGAGCAGGCACATCCACAGGTGCATTTGAGTTCCTTGATGGCTGGTGCTCCATCAGCCAAGGACCACAGACTACGCACCTGGTTGATGACGTAGATACCGTATCGCAGCCGCTGCCGCCTCAACATGGGGTGCAGATAGTGGAGCCAGTAGCGTAGGTGGTGCTCCCGGTGTCTAAAGGGGATGATGACTGCCACTGTTTGGGCTGGGGTGCAGTCAGGTGGTGTATAGCGGCCTCCCAGGAGCACGCCTGGGTTCTCCCTCTGCACCCGCTCCAGAGGCATGGGTGAGGTGAACTCGATGACCACTCGGCCCACTGCAGGCAGGACAGTGTCAAGAGTCAGGGCCTTTGCCAGAATCCAGGGACACCAGCCACCTGGGAGTGGGCAACAGAGCCCCAGGAATAGCCTCGGTGCCCCCATGGTTCAGCACTCCAATTCCCTAGTCACACTGGTAGGATCCTCTTCCCACCCCTACAACAGGTAGGCCCTACTCTGCAGGCTCACCAAGACCAGGTGGCACGTCAGGACAGGGTGGAATGACTGGAGCTGTGGGGCCAGGCCGGGCACTGGACACTTCAGGAAGCCCAGAACTCGAGGCAGTGGCATTGGGCCGAGAGCAGTTGGTGCTGCTGCTGGCTGCAGGGTAGAGGGCACGGGCTGGGCTTCGGATACTGAAGCGGCTGAAAAAGGCCAGGTGCTGGGCGTAGACGTCAAAGTAGAGGATGACAGCCACAAGGAAGTGCAGCAGGCAGAGGAGGAGCACAGCCTTGCAGACCCGCTCCAGCGTCCCCCCCAGCAGTCTGCTCATCCCGCAGGTGGCCAATGGCCTGCCCAATGGGCCCAAGCATCTGGCTGCCAGCCTGAACAGGGGGAGAGAAACAGATCCCACAGGTCAGGGCAGGACAGGTAATGCTACCCACCTGCTTCCTACTCGGCTGCTCATTCACAGACCCCTATCCTCACTTACCTCTCATGCACCTTGAAACTCATCGGCTTGTTTTTTAGTCTACCTACAAACACACAGACAGTTGCTGGCAACTCAGTTTCTGCTATCCTAAACACACCCCATACATACGCATGAACCGTTACTGTACTATGCTGTACATGCATACTCACAGCAGTATGGACAGGTGAACTTGACTACACAGGATTGCATCTCAGCACCCAACCACTTATCTACAGGTTCCACCTGTACCCCAGAAAGCAGATACCTCACAGGGTAGAGCCCTCAACCCAGAACACATGGCTTAGGGAATGGACCACTTACTGGGTGCCTATCACATAGGGATACTTCACACTATGACTTCATTCAGTCCTTTCAAGGATCCTCCTGATGGGAAGTCATTGGGACCCATGGCAGGTTTAGGCATTCAGGTCCCAACAGCAAGCAGGCCTGACCAACTGAGACCAGGCTGAGAAAGAAGCATTCAGGGGCTCCCAAATGGAGTGGGTGTTTAAAAGGATCCTTTCCACTGGAAACAGGGCAGGGCTAGTGAGAGACAGCCCTCACCCAAGACCTTAGGCTGGCTCTGGAGCCTTCTGATCATCGAAGCTAGTTCTGATTCCTGAAGTGGAGTATGTTTGGCCCTGGAGGAGTAAAGTTCTTAGGATGGCAGAGAAGGATGGGGGTGGAGGTGATGAGGTGTCTGTCTTGCTTGGGTCTGAGCTCCACTCTAGTTCCAAAAGGTCAACAAACACTTCTGGTAGTGCTCCTGAGAGCGGCATATCTCAAACATACACAATCACAGGCAGCTTTAATACCAGCAGTAGGCACCCACACTTAAGGGAACACACAGAGACCTATATGCAGAGCCAGACACACTTGGGGTGACAGCAACATACGAGCCACATACATCAACAAACGGCGGCTCCCAGACTTATACAAGCTTAGCCATACACCCAGACCCACGTGCAAGTATTCCCACTCCTCCCTCCAGGGCAGAGGCTCTGGGTCCGGCTAGCCACCAGTCTTGAGGGGTGCGTTTGGGCGAGGTTGGGAGGCTGAATGCGTGGCACCCGGGGACGGGGGAGGCAGCAGAGGACAGGTGGGTGTGGAGCCCTGGGGAGGGGTGCATGCTGTGGGGGATGTGGATGTGGGGCCATGGGCCGAGCGCCTCCGCGAGACACAAGGCCGGGGCGAGCGAGGACAATGAGGGAGGCCGGCTGGGGGCGGACACAGAAGCCCAGGAGGCTAGCGGGATGGGGGTAGGGTGGGGTGCATCCAGGCCAGGGGAAGCGCTGGCGCCTCGCTCACCGGGTCCTGGGCTGGGATCTGGGGCGGCGCGCGGGTGGCCCCCTAGTGGGGCTGGGGCTGGAATGTCGGGGCCCTGGGCTGGGGGGCCGCGCGCCCTCCTCCTCTCACCCAGCGCTCGGGGCTCAGCAGGGGGCGCCGCTCCAGCTCGGGCAGGGATACCGGCTCCGGCAGCTGCGGACGGCTCCGTCCCCCATGGCCCGGCCCCACCGCCCGGTCAGCGGTCCCCGGGCCACCTCCCGCCGCCGCCGCGGGCCATTGAGCCGAGCCGCCCCGGGAGGCAGGGCGGGGCCGGGCAGACCCACGGACCGGCGGACCGACGGACCACTGCGCTGCCGCCTCCCTCCCGCGCTACGGCTCCTCGGAGGGGCAGGCCAGGCCGGCGCGCCCGCGCGCGCGCCCCCGCGGCCCCCGCCTCCAGCGCGCCCGCACGCGCAGCGCGCCGCTCCACCGCCCGCCCCTGCCGTTGGCCCTGCGCGGCCCAGCCAGCGGGGAGACGCTTATGCGGGTGCCCGAGACCCAGGAAAGCCAAGGGAATCCGTCAGGTTCCTCCACCAGCTTGCCTGAGGGATGGAAAGAGGTCAGGAGCCGGCCGGCTAGGCCTTTCAGGTCGTTGGGACAGGGTCTGGATTGTGGGCGACTCAGACACGTTAGAGCCTTGACAACTCTTTCTTGGGTGCATGACTCAAGGTCAGCCAACCAGGGTTGCCTGCTGGGTAAGACCCTTGGAGGAATCGACCGAAAATGACTTCTGGGGTAAGAACAGTTTAGGTAAGATTAGGGAAATTGGAATTGGATAGGTTTGGGTGGAGTTGGACAGTACCCCAGGAATTGAGGCCAGAGAAGGGGTTTCTGGAAGAGTTAGGTGTTCACACAGGACTACCAAGAGAAGGAAAAAAAAAAAAAAAAAAAAAAAAAGGCTCCAGGAAGACAATGGTGTAGGGAGTCTCAGGAGTAAGAACCCTGGGAGGAGTCAGTTTGGGTCTAGAGCATAGGGGTTCAAGGGCATAGGACTAGGAAGATTGAAGAGCCCAGACTCTTCAAGGAAGAGGCACCCTGGTATAGTCAGCCTGTAGCACCCTGCTCTCACCACCCAGGAGCCAGCACTGTCCAGGGCAGAGATGGTCTGTACAGACAGAAAGTTACAAGAGGTTGAGTGAGTGCACAGGCCCTACCCTTCCTTGGTGAAAGGTGTCGCAAAGGACCAACAGAAGCCTCAGTGACCGGGGCAAATACCAAGTTTATTTCACAAACACTAGGAAGATGGGCTGGGTAGGGAACACAGGTGCACAGCTGTACACAGTCACCATCAGCAGCCCATTCCCCACACTGGGGTTCAGTCTGGACTGCAATGCCTCCATAGTCAACAGGCAGCAAGAGGTGAGTGCAGGAGGGCCCTGAACACCAAGCCCAGGAAAGGCTAAGGGGCACAGCTCCAGCTGTCCCAGGAAAACCAGCAATAAATAACAGTGGGGCACGGCCCCACCCATATAGATCATCTAGTCACCCATCTTCACTCTGGAGGTCTGCAAAAGAAGAACAGGACAAATCAGGCAGGGACCGTGACAAGATCAGAATCAGCAAGCCAGTGGGTAGATAGACCGCAGATGGATGACCATACAAGGACAGACACTATGACAGACAACAAAGAAGAGAGCACATGGACAGGGCCAGTGTCCCCGGGAGTCAACCCAGTCAAGCACCCAAAGTCACATTTAGATCTTCAGGTCAGTCACAAACCCACACACAATGACTAAACACAGACTTCAGACATGCTAGTCTACTGATAGGCATGTCGCATACATATGCAGGTAGACCCTGAGAGAAACATATCAAGTCCAGACTGTCACAGATTTCCCATGCCAGGCTATATCACAAAGACATTCCCAGAGGCAGCAGACAGGAAAAAGATGCAAATAGAGGAACTAAAAGGAGAAACATATGCAACAGACAAAGGGGGATCCAGGAGATGGGAAGGTGTTTCCACAGTCGTGAGTGGAGAGGGGAGGAGAGGGGACGCCCTTCTATTCCTCTCAGACAGAGTAAGGCCAGGCTGAGGACAAGGACAAAGAAGCCACAGTTCCCTAGGGGGAAGCAGCACCTGAAGGATTGCAACGATGACCCCAAAGAGGCCAATGGCACTGCCAAAGATCTCCACGATGAGAATCTTTACGAAGAGGCTGGGGTTCTGAGCGTCAGCTAGGGCAGCCCCACTGCCCACGACGCCCACGCAGACTCCACAAAACAAGTTGGAAAGACCGACCGTGAGGCCGGCCCCAAACATGGAGTAGCCTGGAAGATAAAAAGCAGCTCGGTGAGGCCAAGACAAGCACAGGAGATGTGAAGGACCCAGCATGGGCTGACGGGCTTAATCCCACCCCAGCTCTGTAAAGCAGGCTAAAGCAGCTGAGAACATAAAAAGGGGTCCAGTGGAGTTAGGAGCAAATGTGTAGTCCCCAGATGTGTGTCTGTACTTGTGCGTGGAGGTGGGGGGTGTGGTGAGACATCTCACTACGTAGTTATATAATGCTGGCTGGCTTCTTAACTCACTGCCTGCTAGTACTGGGATGAAAGGCCCATACCACCATGCCTGGCAAGACTGAGCTTTTTGCTACCCACTCACCTGCATGGTAGTTTCGATGGCCAATGGCCTTGGGGTCAGTAGCACTGAAAGGCTGAGGAGAACAGGTCATCAGAAGCCATCCCTTAATGCACCTACCTTCTCTCTCCTGCAATTTTTAGGCAAAGCAAAAAGCCACTGGGATGGATGCCCGTTCCCTTCTGGTTTTCCCTTACCTCAGCCATGTTGCTAATGACAATTGCCATGATGATGCCATAGATGGCCACAGCTTCACAGAAGATAATGCTGGCGGTAGTAATGGTAAAGGTTGGGGGAAGGGTGGAGAAAAGAGATGAGAAGGAAATCAACCATTTCTTCAGAAAATCCCCAGCCAACTTTCCTTGACTCATTGGTCACAAGCCAGTATGTCATCAGACCTCCATCACAGCTGACTTTGACAATCAGACCCCCCTATACTTACCTAACCAAGTTCTTGGTCTTGATTCTGGGGGCCTTCACCCCACCCCCAATAATGGAAGAGCCGGTAATATAGATGCCCCTGGTGGAAGGATAAGAAATTGATTAAAGGAGATCAAATAGTCACTGTCCCCAGGATGATTAAGAACCTGCCACGACTCAGAGCCTCCCACTAGTCCCAACACTCACCAGGCTGCTCCAACCACAGAGAGCGAGATTGCTAGGCCAATGCCCAGATTTGACCACATGAAGGGAGAAGTTTCAGTAAGGAACCTGGTATGGGAATAGGGAAGAAAGCGATTCGGCTGTGATCAAGAAAGGACAGGGCTGGAGAGAGAGAGCACACAAAACTCCAGTCGTCCCCCCTGCCCCCAGCTCCAGCCCACCAGTCCCGTAAGCTGCACAGATTCCATATTTCCCTAGGGTTTGTGTGTCTGGACTAGGCTCAGACTACAGAAAGAGAAGAGGTTCGTAGCATAATACTCTTCGTGCCCTTACCATGCCACATCAAAGCGGAAGCCCAAGTCAAAAATGGTGTAGCAGATTCCTGCAGCAATGAGAAAAAGTTAAGGGCTGCTCTTTTGGGACACATTCCCCAACCTAGTCAAACACTGCCTGCCCAACTGCCTGACACATCTAGGAAGACAGGAGTCCCAGAGCGAAACCGCACCTCCGCCCAGGCCTCCATTTTTTTTTTTTTTTTTTTCTCCCTTCTCCTGCCACTCCCTAGGTAACCCGTCTTCCTCAATGACACCAAGCCCCCCTCCACGGGCGTGGGGGAACAAGCGCTGCGTCCAGGCCGCGCCAGATCCCGCCGGCCCAGTCGCTGTTTACCCAACAAGCTGTGAAGGGGGGAGGTCAAGGAGGGAAAAGAGGAAGCAGGGCGCCCAAGTTTGCGGCTCGCGGACGAGGGGGCCGGCGGCCGCGACCCTGGGAGGGTCAGTGCGGCTCTCACAGCCCGGGGTCAGGCCTTCTACGTTGCGGTGGGGCACCGCGCTGGGCCGGCTCTGGCTGCCACCTGCCCCCGCCCCAGCCGGTCAGCTCAGCCAGCCCGGGCTCGCTCACCCACGACGATCATGCAGGCCCAGAAGGCCACAAAGATGCCGGTGTAGAGCAGCGCCAGCCCCGTCATGGCAGCAGCGACGGCGGGGGTCGGATCGGTGGGACGGACCTGAGAGAACACCGCGACCACCGTCCGCCCCGCAGTCTGTTGGCCCGCCCCGCAGTTCCACCTGACCGACGCATGTGACGCTCCGGCTCCACGTGACCTCCGCGCACAGTGGCTGGCTGGCTGGCTGCGGTCCGGCCGCGGTCGACGACGTGCCGCTGAGCACTGTGGTGGTTGTAGTCTCGCGCGGCGCTCTGCGCGCCAGGTACGAGCTCTCCACCTGCGCTGCCTGTTCCCTAACCTGCCCACGGGGCTCCCGGTTTATTCTCCAACCACTGCAGATCCTTCTGGCCTTTTCTAGTTCTACCTAGTTCTAGGAAGGCGCGGACTGTTCCCTCAGCTTGAAGCAGGATTTCGTGGCCTTCGCACTGCCTAGCAACACCTGATGGTCATCAGAGGTCTTTCTAGGTTGCCTTTCCTAACCCAGAGTCAGGGTGGAGTGCCAGCTCTGAGCTCCCATGATGTCCAGGTGGTGCTTTCAAGGCCATGCCATTCTGCTCAAATGCCCCTTGGTTCCTGTTTCACTCTCAACGGAAGAGAAAATCCTTAGGATCCTATGGTATGCAAAGCTATGCTCCTAAGCCCCTAATGCATTCTGCGACTATTCACCTAGTTATTCCTGGTCAGTCATAACCCTTGTATTTTAGTTACTCTCTAGCTCCCTGTCTTTGTTCACCTTTGAGGCCATTCTTACCCATTCTGGGTAATACTCTAACCCCTATCCCCCTTAACAATCCTTTCTCTTTTGCAGCTTTGTGTTTTCCCGTAATTATCACTTGATATACTACGTTTTGTTTTGCTTCTGTGTGTTCATCCTCTCTAGGAAGTGGAAGCACCATGGTTTCTGCTCTACTCACTGTATTTCTAGTGCCTGGCATACAATGGATCCTCAGAACATGGTAGAATACATGATTGATATTCACTTTAACTCCATTCCCATGCCATTTTACACCCTTGCCTCTACCATTAGCCTGGAAACTACATTATCTGGACAGTGCCAATATAAGATTATTGGGTAATGTGGACAACGAGTAGGTAAGTTTTGTTTGTTTTCTCCTGGGATCCAATAAACACAGACAGACACACGCACACGCATATCCCACCTCCAGACCCAGCAACTGTACTTTGGTTGAAGCACCCACCATGTTGACTGGTCTGTGCTTAGGCCCAAATGTTCTTTTCATTCCTTTTATTCTGACAGTATTTTTTTTTTCCTCTACAAGATCCAGCTGAGGACTCCCCTATCTGGGATGCCTCAAGTCCCCCTCAAGGGGCCTGTTAAGAGATCCAGCTGCCCCTGAGGCTCCCTTCACATACAATTCTATTTCATGGGGTCACTATTTCTTCCCAGGCACACTTTGAAGACAGGAATCTGGTTAAATATAACTCCCATATCCATCCACAGGAACTGTGCAGAACTGAGATTTGTTTTGTAAATAAAGAGAAATGAGGAAAAGTATTTGGTTTATTCTCGTTTCCTTGGTACCCCCCCCCCAGAGACAGGGTTGAGTCAGTGTAGCCCAGCACTGTCCCACAGAGCTGTGTGCTATGACAGAATTGTCCCCACATGCAGTCATATGAGTGCTTGAAATGTGATCCGTGTAACTGAGAAACTGAGTTTTCCACACACTTTAAAACTGCAAAAGGACATTGTTTTGGACAGTGCTGTTTGTTGAAGACCAGTGTGGGTCTAGATCTGCCAGCATCTAGAGATAATCTGGGTTGTCATAGCTGAGGGGGAGGCGCTTCTGCTGATGCTAAATAATAGCATAATAGCCTCCACAGTGAAGAACTACTTTGCTTAGAATGTCAACAGTGCTGAGCAGGGAGAACCCTGGTTTGGATCATCCAATTCCTGCCCTGAACAAGGAAGGTCAGAGCTACACTACACCTGCACACCAGGAACTGGGGTCAGCCACAGTCCTAGGCTGCTGACGGATGGGCCCAGGGAAGGCCTGGACCTTTCTTCCCCCCAACAGTCAAACAGGCATTTATTACACAGATGTGTGCTGAGCCAATGCCAGGACAGGCTAGACAGCTCCTCGGGGAGGAGCTATTTGCATTCCCTCTGTTGAGGCTCCTTCAAGTATTGTTGGAGGAGACGACCTTGGTTCAGGGAGCACAAGTCCCAGCAGATCTGTCATTCTGACTCTGGCCTCTGATGGTATCAGACGCTTCCCTCATCCTCATAGGCAATGGCAATACCTCGTCTTCCGCGGACAGCTTCTTTTGCTGGTGTCTGGCCCAAGCGGGGCTCCAGTCCCTGCCAGCTCCGGGAACTAAGGAACGAAGCTACCGAGGGAATGAGAATAAGCTGTGTGGACTGGACCTGGACAAGAATCTAGCAGGGGGCAGGAATTTGCATGCTTACCTGCAGGGCTGCTCTCAGCCAGCTCCAGCTGGGGTCTTGGAGTTAGGGCAGAACATCCAGTGTCACTGGATGACTTCCAAGAAGGTGGTGGTCGGAGGTCCCCAGAAATGAGCGACACATCTGGGGTGTCCCACAACTCTGACTCAGGTGGTGGGAGTGGTACATAGAAGGGAGAACCTGAAATGGAAGGAGGAAAGATAGCTACCCTGGTTCCTCCATGCCAAGCCCCAACTTTGAAGCTGAGATGTGGCTCCACCACTCACCAGGCAAGAGCTCTGCATAATGTGTGAGGTGGGGAGCCAGGCCTGGAGGTGGCCAGGCAGGGTTACAGGCAGCCTCCAATTCACATGGTGTCAATACAGGTCGAAAGAAGCCACCTGAAGGCTGGGGGGCTAGGGCTCCCAGAGGACAGGCCAAAAGCACGAAGATGTCCATCTCAGGGAAGTTGGCAAGCTTGGCAGGTGTGGGCCTCCCCAGGGCCAATACATAGCTACGTTTCCCAGCAGCCTCAGTCAGTTTCCGTAAGTGTGCCAGGGCCTCACGGTGTTGAGCTACACCTAATGTGCCTGCCAACAGCCCTACTACATGGGCATCTCTGGCCCTCTCCACAAGATACAGTCTTCGTGCCCTTAGCCGCCCAGCCTGGACACCCTGGTCTTGTGTCTGGCCTGTGTCTGGACAGCAGGAAATAAAGGGTCGTCCTGGTGTCCAACCCAAGAGCAGTCTGCTCAGATCTGGATCAAGGACAGAGTCAGAGCTGGCTTGAGAACTGCCCACATAGAAGGCACCATATTCTTCCAGACACCTTCCTGGACTCAGGGGAAAGCGTCGTCCAAAACGCTCCAGGGGCTCAGGCTGTGAACTTGGGGACCCCACTGGCAGAGGAAGAGCTGGGCTAGAGATGAGCAGATCTTGGTACTTTGGGCGCAGGAGAGTGCCCAAAGCCTCTGAAAGAGAAGGAAGTGCCATCAGAGATGAAGTCTGGGTAAGTAGGAGATGAGATGTCTCATCCCCAGGTGACTGAATGTACACACTAGGCCAAGCTGCTATCAAGAGCTCTATGGAAGTATGTTTAATGAGGGAAACTAAGGCATGCAACCATGGACCTACTCCTCCTCCCCTCACAGGTATAATTCCTCACCTAGGGCATGGGCACAAGCTGGCTCACTCAGCAGTACCACCGGTGCTGTGGGATCTGGGTTCTGGGCTTCAAAGGCCTCTGCACAGAGCTCTAAGGCAACAGAACGCTGACCAAGGACGAAGGTGATCGGCAGCAGGCTGGCAGGGGGGCTTAAGCAGGCAGGACCAAAGTGAACAAGGGCTTGAGCTCCAGCCTGCTCAGCACCCAGTACATCCACACAGCAGCTGCAGGAGAGAGAACATTGGTGGGTTGCCACCAATGGGAAATGTGGCCAGTGGAGAAAATGGTACCATGCTAGGAATTCACTGTCACTGAGGGAGGCTGGCATCAGGAGCTTATCATCATCATGCAAACATAGCCACTGGAGGCAGACACTGTCAGCAAGGAAACCCCATGGGGCCTGGATCCTTAGACCTGACCACTTACTCCCAGCACAAGTTCATACCTGCCATAAGCCGTGTCCCCTAAAATGAACATCTTAGATCCTGTGACTTCCTCCAGCCGTGCAGCCACTGCTGCAGCATCTCCCAGTAACTGGTCAGGGAACTGTAAGGCCACCTGTAAGCACAAGCCATAAAGTCAGCAATCTCGCTCCTCCACCAAGAGCATCTGCTTAAGAAACACTCAAATTGGGCTGGAGAGATGGCTCAGAAGTTAAGGGCACTGGATGCTCTTCCAAGGGTCCTGAGTTCAATTCCCAGCAACCACATGGCTAGGCTCACAACCATCTATAATAAGATCTGGTGCCCTCTTCCGGCACATAGGCATATATGCAGGCAGAACACTATACATGATAAATAAGTAAATCTTTAAAAAAAGAAGAAAAAAAAAAACACTCAAATTTCAAAGTCCTACTTCTTCCGGAGGGCGATGGCGGGTTCGACGCGTGCGGACTCCTCAACCCACGAGACCCGGCAACCCATTACCCGAGGCGAGCCAACCCTGTCTTTCTAAATCGGCCCTCACCCGCTGACACCCTAAATCGCAGACAAATTTGGTGACTCGCTCCAGCTCGTACACTCGGTCGAGGTCTTCCGGAGGGGTGAACAGTCCTGGGACGCCCGCCTCCCGCTGTAAGGCCGCCTCCGCGGGACTGCTGAACGTAGACTCCATGGGGCACAGCTTGGGTGGGGCGAGATGCAGCTGCACCCTCAGCAATCCTCGAGGTCACAGCAGTTTTGCTTGTGGCTCGGGACCAACTTGTCCACGGGCCCTAGGATCCAGGTCCTCCGCTTCCAAACTCCCGGTTCTCCACTACACATGGACCTACGGAGACTATTTCCGGGTTCAAGAAGTGACCACAGAGAACCAATCACCAGCCTCTTACTCAGGACCAATCGGAAGTGCCGCTAAGCCTTGTGGGTGTTGTGGTTCCACAGGCTGAAGCTCCTTCCTGGGTATGCTCAGGTCATCCTGCTGGAGCCCTGTGGAACATCAGCTTCCTAATTTAGTGTGAGCAGTTCCTATCCGCTGGTCACATTAATTATCTCGTGTGCAATGAAATTTGTTTTTAACGTGTATGGTATATACATGGGAATACAGTGAGACGGGTCCTTGAAGATCCAACTCAAGTCTT